AGTCTTGTGTTGACGTAGATGGTTGTGGCGAGGATGCTCGCCACCGCCACCAGTAGCAACAACGGCCGCCTCGCGCTTGGGGAGGAAGGGGGCTGTGTGAGAGGGTTCTTTGCTGTCATCTGCGCGGAACTCGCCCGTGTTGTCCTTGATCGAAACTAACCCTCACAGTGTTTTGTGTCCGGATTCAAATCGCACTAATGGTACAGAGCAACCCTCACGATGGTGAATTGTGTGCTTGTCCATTATTGGACTCTTTCAAGACTTCCGCATGGAAATACCATACGGGTTGCTCATGAATGGCACGTACATGCACAGTTATCCACTTTCCGCGCGGAGTACACGTACTACAATAAAGGTATTCGTCAGCACATTTTGCAGTTATTTCGCCCTTTATCTAAAAATAAAGGTTGAATTTTACACTTGATAAGATGAATTTCACATTTAAACAGTGAAAACGCCGAATTGCAAATCGGACTGTTGGTCAAGATTTTGTGTTATGGGCAGAAAACTGTACACTTGAAAATTTCAATGAGAGTGGTTGCTGCTCCAGACTGGTATCATAAAACAGCCATTTTGCCGCTGTTGGCAAGCATTGGTACGTAGCTTCCAGCGAGCGTTGAGCGGGTGCTGTAGTATGATTAAGGGCACTAGTGGAGAGGCTACTCGATCCTCCAAACCGAGCAACATTATGAAAAGGGGAAGGAAACAGCGTTGTTGTGTTTTCGTGCGGGCGAAAAGTTGAGTCTCTGTGCAGAAATAGCCGTTATTAGGCCATTAATAAGGACATTTATATCCTTATTAAGGACAACAGATGGCTCCCAGTCTGGAGCAGCAACACGTGCCAATTTCAATTGGCCAACCATTTAATGGACAGGACAATGGAATCAATTGAATTGAGATTGCCACCGAACGACGCGAAAACGTTTAAATCTTTGCCGCTAAATTCGTGAGCCTCAGCAACAACAACAACCCAACGACGCAACGAAAATTCTAGATACATTTTGTACCACTTCAGACTCAGCGAGTTGACTCACTCGGTTTTCATCGCTGTACAGCAGACGCACAGACGCACTGCGGCCCGCAGCCAGTTTAGCCAGTTGAGGAAAATATTGCTCTTGCCATGATAAGGAACTTCATGCTCAGTTTTTTTTTTCACTGTAGTATTTTGACAGCTTTATCTAAATGGGGCGATTTCAGCAGCAAAATGAATCTGACAGAGGGGCTCCTTTTAGATCCAAAGTCAAACGAGTTTGGATTTTGAAAAAGAACATCAAATGGCTGCGAAATCGCTCAGTTGTCGTAGATATTTATTGTGTCTTTAGCTTACCTGGTACTAATACCATATAGGTAGTAAGTAACTTACAAAAGTATTTTGGCGCGGAATCAGATCCATACAAAGGCTGTCAACCACAAATTATGACCTCTTTCCCTACACGCGCGAAGAGGAAGCGTGACCCTGAACGTGCAGGAGCCAATCGACAGAGATACATGTTATGTACATCTGGCGCCCAGCAAGGCTTGCTGTGAAGAGGAAAAACATACTAACACACAAAACCTCACAAGAACAGGTTAGGTGACACATTATTAGAAGGCGGGAGTGAGCGGGTGCGAGGAGCGTAGCCGTAGCAAACCCGAGCAGGGTGTTCGCGATGTAGGGCCGCTCGGTATTTACGTAGGTGGGTCCAGCGACGAACTCATAAGCGAACAGACCCTTACACTTTCCAGTACACTTTTTTTTTTCTAATGCGGGGGGTCTGGGGGTGCCCCCC